GGAAAAACTCGTCCAGAAAATCAGTATCAAACAAACAAGAAGGCTCAATTTCTCGACTTTTTTTTTTTTATTTTCCTGTGAGTGATGTTCAGAAAAAAGTGACCAACCCGATTACGCTAGTGGTGTTTTCGATCCCGTATTCGGTGCCGTAGTTCTCGGAGGAGGAAAGAGGTAGAGGGGCACGCTCAAACTGTTGGGAGGGGTGCCAAGACGGAGAAGGTTGTGCAGGAGTATCGAGCTCCTCCTGGTCGAGGGGACCGCCAGGACTGTGGTTTGCTTCGGAGTATTGGCCGAGGATGTGGCGGATCTCTGGAAAGAACTGAGCCTGACCACTCCGGTGTTGGACCCTTGGATGGGATCTAGCACCTCTCTGATGATTGTTGTAGATGGTGGGTGATGAGCTTTGAGGAAGGCTTCCATGAGGTGACATAGGATGATCTGAGGCCGGTCTGATGCCTGATTTGAGCGCATCATGAATATAGGTCTTATGGTGGTTGGCCTCTATGGGCTCATCTTGATAGGGACTTGGACAGTCAAGCGGGTCTTGATAGGACCCAGACTTGTCGAGAGACTCAGCCAAGCCAGGCTGAGCACTAGAGCGATCGCGGACAAGATTCTGATCGAAGGGCCCTCCTGGCTTTATTAGTTGATGACTGTCAGACGCAGACGGGCGGGTGTTTCTCATGGCGGGTTCCGGGCGCTGCTCTGGCGGGCCGGGGGGAAGCTTGATGCCAAACTGGGTCCCGGATCGGGGAGGCCGGCTGTTGCTCGCTTTCCGCTTGTTCTTCCTGGCTAGTCGACGGGCAATAGTCCAAGGGGTGTCCTTAAACTCAGCCTGGTTTTCTTCCTCCACCGCGCTGATATCGATCGGAGAAGAGGTCCTGACCACCGACGTGGTATTCCTTCCCGAGTCCGGCTGGTTCTTCGATCCAAATCGTCCGATAGAGGAGCCATTTCTGGCAGTAGTAGTTGGCTGTTGACCGCTGTCCAGACGAGTAGTATCTAAAAAGTTAAACCCACACATCTCAAAGTCACTTGGTCTGTATTTTTTTCTTGCATGTGTCTGTTCGGCCGGCTAGCTGTGGCCGGCTAGTAGGAGTGAATACCTTGAGGGACTTGGGATACTCACCTCAAGGCCCAAGCGAGGGGAAGGAGCCAGCTATGTAGAGCGAGTCTGGAAGAAGAGACTGTTGTGCTCACTTGTGAAGATCGTAGGCGAGCTCGGCACATCCTTCCTCCTCCGCACCGGGAAATGAGTGATATCTTGTTCCTGTTGACCATCCGATTCGGAATCCTCGTGGTCGACGAGCTCAAAAGTGGCCGACGTTCCCCATGCCGATGATGGGTTTTGCTCGGCCATCTCGTCTGGCCCGTGGGGGAGCCAGTCTCCTTGGACGATATGTGAGCTGAGTATGATCAGTTGACCAAC